TCTCTGGCCTCTGACCCGCGGCTGCTAGGCCAGCTTCTGCGCAGCCATGCATGCTGTGGGGAAGGTTCTGCTCCCGTCGGTGCCCCATGGGGCCTCTGATCACTCCCTCACCACTGTCTCAGCCCTGGTCCTGCTCTAAGAACCAGCCTTGGTCACTCTGAGGGTGCTGTCCTCCCGTCTAGCCGCTCCGGTCCCTACTTGGCCCTCTCTGACTCGCATCAGCACTTGAAACGCTCCCCACAGGCCCCGGGCCATGCTCACGGTCTGTTTTCTGCTCCTTAAGGGAGGCCTGGTCTGGCTCACTGCTGCCTCCCTGGGACCGGCCGGTCAGCACCTACTGAGCCATCGGCTGGCTGGAATGGCGGAGGAAGTCCAGGTCTGGGTTATCCGAGGGGGCTTCACGTGGGGTTGCTACGTTTCTTTTCACTTTAAGATTTGCTTATTCTGAAAACGCACTCACATTTAATTAACTAACAGCGCCTTCAGAATAGAAGCCAGACATTCCCCAATACCAAAAGAGAAAAACAAAACTAAACTAAAAAAACAACCAAGATACCCAAAAAATACTCCATTACTGTTAAGAAAAGAATGAAAGGAACTAAAATTTTCTTTTGGTTAATCTCATAAAAAATTCTCCCAATATACAAATTTCAAGGTTTTCCATTTTTCTATGGTGGAAGTTAAAGGAGGGCTCTCTGTCACCAACCCTCCCTGCTGTACCAAAGGTCACTGATCCACACCCGCGCGAGGCCCAAGGCCAACCGTGTTTCTCGAAGGTCCTGTTTTATGGACAGGCAGTGCCGTGCTTGTACACCGAGGGCTGACGCTCCCACCGAGGTTGGTACTGGCCGTGAGTAAGCACATTAACTCGTTTTATTACCCGTATGCTGAGGATCAGAGAGCTGCCTTTTAATGCCACCTGCATTGCGAGACCTGTGTGCTCAGAAGCTCTGAGCCAGGCATGAACAAAGGGCCGTGGGTCTTCAGCCTTCCTCTTCCTACTTGTGAAAAGGAGAAACCTCACACAGGACATGACACTTGCCTCAGTGGGACGCGCTTACAGCAGGTACGCCCCGTCACGACACCGGGGAGTCTGACGCACAGGAAAGCCCTTCTGTGCCGACACTTGGCCGACTGTACTAACTCCATACTGAGCCTAGTGTTGCAGGCCCTCAGTAACCTAGACAGCAGTAACTGCTCATGTCGTTGGACGCTCAGCAGAGATTCGAAGCCCTTTCCCTGCGTGAATTCATTACATCTTCGTGACAGCTCTAAGATACAGCTACTACTTCAGCCCTATCTTATGGGAGTAAACAGAGGCGCAGCCAAGTCAGGTAACGTGCTGATACCCCACAGCTAGCCACAACGTTCTGTACCTCAGCGTGACTTCCACGTTCCTCAGAGATGGAGGCAGGTGGTCAGACCGAGAAAGGCCACGTAAAAGAGGCCTGGACTGGCAGCCTGGCCCTTGTCCTGCCTTTCTTGCCCGTGTGTAACTTGGACACGTCACCCAACCCTTCCCGAACGTGGTCCGATGAGGCTCTTTGGGGTAGAAATGAGTGATGGGGACGGGGTGGGCAGACATAGCTGTGGGAACCCCAGGCCGCTGGAGGAGGCCTGGCTGGTGGCCCCGACCTGTGGGTGTCCACCTCCTCCATGTTTCCCCACAGCACCCTGTACCGAGCAGTGCCCCAGTATGCAGCTCCAAGCCAGGTTTAGTTTGAAAAGTGGGCTTCTGCTGGGCCACCACTCACCACCACACAGTTAGCCCTGCTCCTGCTCCGCCCGGACTTGGGCTGGCACCCTCTCTGGCTGCCAGGAAGCAGGTAGAGCCAGCCAGAAACAGGAGGAGCAGGAGTGGCTGCAGGGGAGGCTGCCTGGCAACTGCACGCCTCTCCCAGAGGGAGGGAAGGTGTGGCGGCCGACTGTGGGCACAGCCTGCAGCAGGAGCAGGCCGGGTCTTCCAGGTTGTCCAGGCAAGCTGAGAACCCTGTGTTCGCATGACGCTCACTGATCTGTAAATATCGACAAGTGAGGAAGCCGGCACGGTGGGGTCACACAGCACATCTAACACACGTCGCAGTGGCCCAGTGATGAGGTTTACACGCGGTGCATCTAAAGTGTGTCAAGGTGGCCCAGTGGTGGGGTTTACATGTAGTGCATCTAACACGCGTCGTGGTGTCCCAATGGTGAGGTTTACACGCAATGCATCTAAAACGTGTCATGGTGGCCCAGTGGTGGGGTCACATGCGGTGGATCTAACACGCGTCACGGTGAGCTACCCGACCTCACCGAACTGTCCCCCCAACCCAAACGGGAAATGCGTCATTTCTAAACATAGCTATGTAAGGCCCCGGTGACCAGAAGCAGACGAATTATGCTCAGTGTGGACATAAAAAGACACAAACATTTTGTTCAGCAAATGTCACTGTGGTTTCAAAGCCGAGGCGCGATGTGCGATCAGCCAGTTTGGAGTATTTCCTGCCCACCCCGGGCTCACAGTGTGGCCAGCAAGTCCTACAAGCAGCTGCAGTGAATTCTTAACACCTGCAAAAAACCGAGGCTTGAAAATAATTTTACGTTGTTTTCAATTTTTGGATTGGCTGGTTTTCTGCAGTTTCAAACTCAAAGGACCCTCCAGTTCATTAAACTTCAGCTGGACAGGAAATTGGAGAACTTCAAAAGAACTGTGAAAATCTAATGGTTGCATTATAGTTCCACAAATGCATTTAACTTATGGGACCCAGAGAGCTGTTCCTTGAGAAAAAGAAAAAGAAAGAAAGAAGAAAAAGAAAGGGAAAGGAGAGAACATAGAAAATAAAGACAGGAAGAAGGAAAGAAAGGAAAAGAACAAGAAAGAAAGAAAGAAGGCAGAAAAGTCCCAGGCTCCAGCCCTCTGGCCGGCTTTGCTCTTTAAAGTGGGGCGAGCCCAGAGCCACCTCCTGGCCTGGGCGCTTCCGTCTGGGGCAGGGGAGGGGCAGGGCCGCTAGCGAGCCGCCGAGCTCCTTGACCCGCGACGCCCTCCCTTGCTTTTTAAGTCAAAGAGCTTGGATTTCCTGAAATTGTTGGACTAGATGGAAGTGAGCCCCCCTCGCCGCGGGCTGAGAACCCTGCAGGGGAGCGGGAGGGGTGAGCCGCGGGCGCGGGCGAAGCCGGCGGGACAGGAAGGGGGGCGCGATGGGGCTGGGGACGTGTCGCCCGGGGCTCCCGGACCAGCGCAGAACCGCGCCAGGCGGTCCCCGCGGCGAGCCGACCCCAGCCGGACCCGACCCCGCGCAGGGCAGCGCCGCGGGGAGGGGCGGGAGGCGCGGCAGGAACCGTCGGTCGCTCGCTGCTCGCTTCTCTCCGGTGACACGTTCTCGCGGAGACCGGGCACTTCCTGCGCGCGGAGTGCGGGCGGGTGCCGGCCAGGGGACCCCGGGCGAGCGGGGAGATCCGGTGCCGAAGCCCAGGCCTAGCCTCGGCCCAGGAAAGGGCACGTCGCAGGGCTCAGGCTCGCCGGGGCGTCGTGCTGGGGCGACCCGCGGGGCCGCGGCTGCCGGGCTGGGGCAGACTCTTGGCCAGGGAGGCCCACCTGGGGCCCAGGCAGAGCCGGGGTCGGAGCGCAAGTTCGCTGGGGCGCTGTCTCTGCCGGAGCTGCCCTTTCTCGGTCCCCTTTCTAGGGAAGGGCGGTGGGAGGCGCCGAGAGCCCGCGGGGCCGGTCTGCCTGCCAGGAACGTCCCGCCGCCCCAGCCCGCGTTCCCAGAGACCGCCCAGGCTGGTCCGAGAAGCTACGGGTCGGCTCTGAGGAGCTCCCCGGTGACCACAGGGCGCCCCTAGTTCCCTGGGCTGCGTCGGTGGGGCCCTTCCACGACGCCTGTGCCGCCCTGCGCGCAGGCTCGGTTCCTGCCGCGCGCCCAAGGCCCGCAGGGCTCCCGCTGACCAAGCCCCGGGGACCCCAAGGCCAGCCTGACCGCGTGAGGCTGCCCAGGGCAGAACGGCTCAGTGCTGAGCTGGGGGATGCTCCGGGGTGGAAGGCCCTCTTCCGACCCCAGGAGGGCAAGCGGGCAAGGGAGAAGCTTGCAGTGCAAAGGTAGCCCCTGGCGAGGTTCCCAGCTAGACTGAGGACACCCAGGGGCCTCCCCATGGAACCCGCTGCTGGGTCTCTTCACAGTGTCCCAGACGCAGCCCTGGAGGCAGGGGAAGCAACGCGGACGCAGTGGCCCCCCTCCCGCCCAGACCCTGGCCTTTGGGTGCTTCGCCGGTGCTCCCAAGGCCGGAGCACCAACGGGTGGGAGAAGGCAGCCCTGGAAACAAGGGCCTCCCCGCTCCTTTCTCAGGGGCTAAGCTCAGACGCTGGTTTCCCAAGGGTAAGACGCCCCAGTGCAGGTCTAGGGGAACAGGGCTGGTGTCTACTCATTCCACTGAGATCAGTAAGGTTCTGTTTGAATGTTATGAAAATAAAATGTTCCTTACTTAAAAAGTGGGAATGCAAAATCTCAGGCTTTACGGTCGGTGTCTTAAACTTTGCACTAAGAGCCCTTGATGAGCTCATGTGCGCCCTCACTGAAGCATGTAGGTGCCATTTAACTCCATACGTGGATGAGCTGGCCAAGGCTTACAGGGTTTGAGTGACTTGTCTGAGGCCAGAAACAGGGATGGAGCTGGGGTGGAGACCTGATCTGTCACTCCATGTGAGCTGAAGGTGTCATCCTCCCAAGGGCTTTTTATGTTTCCTATCGGGCATGTTTGCTCACCAGACAGACAGGGAGACAGAAAGCGAGGAATCACCTCCCTGGGGGGGTGGGGGTGGGGGCGGCGGCCATGCCACAGTCCCTTCTCCTCCCAGGATGTTGGACATGCACGCACATGTGCCTGGCCTGATTTTAAGCTGCTGAATGTAGGACTTGAACTGCGGTTGGAGTCCAGTGATGTAACCATCACGCCATCTGCTCACCCCAGTCCCTAGGTAGTGATCAGATCAACTAGTAGTTGAATAAACCAATGGCTTCTTATTTCTTTTTTTTAATGCCACAAGTGGCTCGATTATTCAAAAGGACATCTTAATTTTGTCCTTAAAAGCATCTGAAAAACTCAGTGATTTTTAAAAAATTATTTTTTTAACATTTATTTATTTACTTATTTAAATTTGACAAGGGGAGGGGGAGTGAGAAAACAAGTCACTAGGTCTGGAACTGAACTGTGACGGCCACATGGGAGTCCAGTGCCCATAACTAGTGCGCCATCTGCCGGCCTCCCTCTGATTTGATATTCCAGACATAATCTAAACTTCCGTTTTTGTTTGTTTGTTTGTTTGCTTGCTTGTTTTTGCCATAGGATGTGTGCATTCACCAGAGACAGAATGCAGGAAAGTGTTAAATCACCTCCCAAGGGGGATGGCCACACTGCAATCCCTTCTTCTCCAGTCTTCTCAGGATTTTGGGCACACAGTCACGTGTGCTTGGTGTAATTTTTAAGCTGCCAGGTCTGGGACTCGAACCCATGTGGGAGTCCAGCACCTTAACTGCCATGCCACTTGCTGGTCCCATTTTTAAAAATTTACTAGAGGGCACATGGGACTCACTGGACAGATACAGATACAGAGAGACAGAGAGAGAGAGAGAGAGAGAGAGAGGGAGGGAGGGGGAGACAGAGGGAGAGAGAGAGGGGAGAGAGAGGAGAGAGGGGCGGGAAGAGAGGGACAGAGTGAGAGAAAGAGAGAGAGAGAGAGAGAGAGAGAGGGAGGGAGGGGGAGACAGAGGGAGAGAGAGAGGGGAGAGAGAGGAGAGAGGGGCGGGAAGAGAGGGAGGGAGGGAGAGGGAGAGAAAGGGAGAGAGAGAGGGAGAGAGAGAGAGAGAGGGAGAGAGAGAGAGAGGGAGAGAGAGGGAGAGAGGAAGAGAGAGAGAGGGAGACAGGGAGAGAGAGAGGAGACGAGGCATGATCGGGCTACAGTCCTGTGACCTCCATTCTCTGTGTCAGGATCTTGCGCACACATGCACATGTGCATGGTATTTTTCAAGTCGTTGGGTCTGGGACACAAACTGCATGGTCAACCATGTGGGATCTGGCTGCCTTAATGACATGCCACTGCTGGCCTGCTCTTGCATTTAATGTATGTTCAGCATTTAAACCACTTATTTGTATAAAATGGAATTCAGTGTACATTTTGTGGTGTTCTCAGGTTCTCCGGATTTCTGTACCCTGTAATTTGTAGATGTGTCTGTCTCCCTGTGGCCGTTCCTTTGGGCTGTCCTTGTGAGACAAAATGTGCTGACCCCTATCCTGACTTGCAAATTCTTTCTGATTTCCTTCACATTCTCTTTGCAGAGCTGCCCGGCACGGAGTCGAGCTGAGAAATCAAGAGTCCCCTCGTGAGACCCCGCAGTGCCCAGCACTCGTCACCACGGGCTTACTCCTGGAGTCGCCTCTGGGCCGCAGGCGTCAAGACCTGACCAAGGCGATGCCCACGGCCATGGCCGTCTCAGCCTGTGTGAGTTAATGTCTCCATTGTGTACATTGGGATGTCCACCCTTGAGGCCTTCCATGGGGCACCCAAGGCTCCAGGTTCTTGGGGAGGGCTTGGTGCCCACGTGGAGGATCAGGAGTCAGTGCCTGAAGGCAGGAGGTGGGCAACGTGAGCCGTGGTATCTGAGGGCGGTCTGGACTACGCTGACAAGGCTTGCTGTGTGCAGGAGAGCTGGCCCTGGCAGTGTCGTGAGCAAAGAGAATTTCTAGTGTGGCCTGGGAGGGCGCGGCTGCCACGCCACAGAGCAATACCTGGGAGCCACCCTGCCTGTAGAGTCCCGGAGGGTGAAGTGGGAACACCTCTGGGTGCACAGCTCTGGGAAGCTCTGTGAGTTAGGGAGCTGCGGGCTCTTCCCATTGTAATTGGCCCTTCGGGCTAACAGTCACTCAGTCTCGCTCTAAATATTCCTCTCATGTTTTGCCAGTTCGTGGCCTTTGTAGATCAACCCTTGGATTTCAGTGAGGAAAAGAGAGTGAGAAGAAAGCAAAGGTTGGTGGTTACCTGAACTGGATGAAGTTCTGTCTAGCAGGGTTTAAATAGACAGTTCTTGCACCCTAATTACCATCAACCAGGAATTTAAGTGGCCTATTAAATTTAAACTGACTTTTTTCATTTTGGTCTTAAACTCCCTGCTATTTCCAGCTGTAACATAGTCTAGGATTTTAAACGCATTTGTGTATTCTTTAAATGTGTAGAGGCCTTCTCTGGCTCCCCATCACCCCCTTTTAGGAATATTACATATTCGCAGTGGGTGATACGCGACGCCATAGCCATGGTAAACTGGCTTCATTTAAAAGCAGGAGCTCCTGGGAACCAGCAGTTAGCGTAATGGCTATGTCGCTGAACTCCCACGTAGTCAACCGCAGTTCGTGTCCCAGACCCGGTGGCTTAAAACTCACGCCGGGCGCATGTGCATGCGTACCCAGGATCCCGAGAGGAGAATGGAGGAGAAGGGATTGCGGCGTGACCATCCCCTCTGGGGGGTGATTTCTCGCTTTCTGTCTCTCTGTCTCTGTCTGTCTGTCTGGCGAGTGCACCCGCCCAATAGCAGGGGGGAGGGGAGTAGGAGCTCCCAGCCAGGCTTGTCGGCTCTGTCAGCCTCCGGAGAGCAAGCCCAATAACCAAGTTAACCCAGAGGGCTTGGGAGGGTGGTAGAGCTCACCCAAATCCCTCTCTTCCTCTTTTTTTTTTTTTTTTTTAAATTATACTACCTAATTGGCAGTACAGTGCAGCAGCTGTGTGATTACACGGTGCAGTCGATTTTGACCATGGCCCATGGGCAGACCAGGTAACTGTCCCCCTGGCCCCCCACTGACCTGTTGTGATTACTCACATAAGTTATTTTAGATGTAATTATGCTACATGACATTATGTGTGTACTCACGTGTGATGGGTCTTCAAAGAGTTCATGGAAAATGCATAGTATGAAAAATGTGTGGATTTTGAGAACAGGTGTTTTAGTTTACTCGTTTATTTCTTCTGTGAGCAAGAGAAGCCCAGAGCCAGAGACAGGAAGAGAGAAGCAGTGCCTGACAGGGTCCCGATGCCACAATCTGCCATGTTCGGCCAGCCCCCGGGCATGGACAAGCTTTTGCTATGTACTCAGGGACGTCTCTGGAGGTGAATCCAGAACCTTCCGTGTGGTCAACCTCTCAATTACTGTTGTGCCACCAGCCCCACATTTCAAAATGTCTTGTTCCAAATAAACTTACTCAGATTCCATTTCCCACGAATGTCCTGGAGCCCTTGGCTCTCACTTTCTCTAGGCTTTCTGTGCCTCTTTTCGAGGCGTGACAGCGACCTCTCTCACACATGCCAGTCTGGTCTCACCCCAGCAGGTCGCTGTGGCAGTGGCGGGCCTCCCTCTCTCGCTGCCCTCCTAGCTTTCCTGGCCACACGACAGGCCAAGTCTGTGTCTTGCTAAGACAGGGGTCGCGGTTGATTTGCGCGAGTCCTTGGTCGAGGGGCTGCCTCGGGCTGCTTGGGCTGTGTGGAACAGGAGTGTGTCGGCATGAGGAGGCTGGGAAGACAGCCTCAGGAATCCATGTCTGTCCTCTTCCCGGGGCTGGTGTGTGTCTGTTCGTCTGAGCTGAGCTGCTCAGACCCTGTCAGCCTGCTCGTGACGTCGGCTGAACGCTCGCGATGTAAACTTGACACTTGCCTGTAATCATAAAGCCCTTCAAGCACTGGCCCAGCGTCACCCCCTCGTGTCCCGGGGAGACCAAACCACCTACTGCGTCATTTTCAGATTGTGGCTCGTTATGCCGGTACGGGACGCACCGCTGCCTGGTGGTGTGACCACTGTCTTTGTGAAACGTCTAGAGGTAAGCCTTTGTGGTATCTGGATAATTTTTTAAAATTCTTGGGCCAGCTAGTGGCATGGTAGTCCAGGCGGTTGGCTACCACATGGCCGACTGCACGGTTCAAGGCCCCCACCCCTGACTCGAAGGGTGTGCTGGGTGTGTGCATGCAGGCCCATGCCCTGACGACAGGGGGGGCTGGCAGCATGGCTGTCCCCCAGGGGTGCTTTCTACTCTCCCACTGTCTGTCCCCAGTCAGTGCACATGCCCCCCCGCTCCAAAAGGGTCTTCACCAACAGGACAGTAGATGTCTTTCTGGCTTCAGAAATGCCTTCCCGACATCCTAGAAGTCAGCACCACCTTTTCAGAGTGGCAGCTGTGGGTGAGCCTGTGCCTGGTCCCGACTGGCTCTCAGGGTAACAGGTGGGAGAGTGAGACCCGGAATGAGACCTTGGCTCTGCCAGAGCAAGCTCTGTGCCGTGGGCAAGCCGCCCGGTGCCCCAGGCCTCGGCCTTCCCCCACTGCGTAGTGAGCTGGCCTCCTGAGACGCTGCTCTCCTGCTGTGAGGGCTGAGGCGGGTGTGGACCTGTGCGTGAGTGTGCAGGGGTCATCTGAGCTCCTTGGTTTGCCCAGAGCTGGGCTGGGGTCTGGATTTCTCCCCAGCCTGGCCGGGGGTGCTGCTGACGATGTCCTACCTGGAGAAGCCCTTGTTATGGGCTGCCGGGCGTGGGAGCGTGTGAACAGCATCCCTGGCCTCTGCCCGCTGTGTGCCCATCACATTGCCACTCTCACCCCACACTGCCACCATTGGGAGTGTCTGCGGACCTTGCAGTGTTCCCAGGAGCACAGGACGGTCACCCTCCTGTGACCTCGACGGCGTGGCTGGACTGTGTCGGGCCTCAGGCCCGTTAGGGGGATACTAAGGAGTGGACCTCTGCCCACATCCTTCTTCAGGAATACAGTGAGGGCGGCTCTGTGGTTAAGGGAACTGACTCGCACATGGCTGACGGTGCAGTTCTAATCCCAGCCCTGGAGGCCTGAGACACTTTCCAGGCACAGGTGTTGTGCCTGAAATCCTGCCAGGGTGGAGAAGTGGTAGAGAAGGGAGAGCAGCGTGGGTGCATCCGCTGGAGGTGCTTTCCCCCTCTCCCTTCCACTTTGTCTCAGGATGCATGCACCCTTTGGCAATAAATAAATAAATAAATAAATAAATAAATAAAAGAAAGAAAGAAAAAGAGAAAGGAAAGAAAGAAAGCATGAGGTGGTGGAGACAGCCTCTCCGAGGCTCTGGAAAAGCACCAATTTTCAGACTTGAGCTCCAGCCCTGATGTTTCATAGTTGTGGGACCACAGCCAGTTGCTTAGATGCTCCCCATGGGAACTTGGTCCTTCTGAAATAGCATTGATGCCGAGCACTCCCAGAGCTTTGGGGTCAGGTCAGGAGCGCCAGGAAGCGGCAGGTACCCCTGCCTCGCAGACCCTGCCTCGGGACCTGTCTCTCCCTCCCTCGGGCCTGACCCCTTAGCCTTCGCCAGCTCCCTTTATGTCCCTTTTCTCCCAGGCGTTGCTGTGTGCCTGTCCTCAACCCACTCAACACCAAGGCTCTCGGACTGGCAGGCCCCGGCCAGACTGTAGCGTCAGACTTGCATTATTTGGGTGCACTCAGTTTTGGGGGCAAATAATTTCCCCAGTGTTTAGAATGTGGAGAGTTGACATATAAACTCCAGTTTTCAGCTTTCCTTTTAAAAAGGAGCTGAAGGGCTGCTTAGTCTGCCACAGTCCCCACCTGGCCCGATAACCTCATCACGCTGTCTGTCTCAGGCCTTATAGACGGGGAATTTGCCCTCCCTATGTCAGGCCACTCTGTCCTTCTCGTTAATCATGACCAATTGCTGTCCCTCCCCTTACCACTGGCAGAATCACCTGTAGCCAGAAAGGCTACAAGAAGAAACTCATAGCATACTTGTTGAAATATATTTTCTTACTATCCTGGTCTCCCGTAAATTAAAAAAATATATATATATTTCTCGAGCTTTTAAAACATTTATTTTTTTCCCCATGAGAGTGGGAGACAGAGAAAGAATCAGAGAGACAGAGAGAAACAGACCGGCAGACAGATTCCCCCCCCGCCCCAGGGTCTTTGTGCCGTGACCCTCGGGACATGCTTGGGTGGAACCTGGGTCCCTCTGAATACCCTCAGCGCAGAGACAGCATTACTGTGTCACCCGCCAGGTTCCCCTAACCGTGGGAGATGGTGTTTCTTCTTGAAATTCCCTTCCCAGTCTCCAGTGTCCACACAGAGTAATGGCAGGATGGTGGTGGTCAGTCTCAGCTGACCTTCGTTAACTCTGCCTGTAGCTCTAGGAGTCGGCTTTCTGCCTCCTTGTCTCCACCACCGCCTTCGCCCTGCTGCCAAGCTGCATCTACAGGATTGCCTCTGGACCCTGCCCAGAGCCCCTGAACCCCTTGAGAGTGGACGTGCTGTTCCTCCTGGCCCCTGGCAGATGGTGGGTCTCCAAACATTTGGGTGAGTTACGTGGACTCGAGTGCAGCCCATGGCCTCCGAGGAATGGCCATGCCTGGATAGCCCTGTGCTTGTGCTCCTTACACCCAGCTACACCACCTGCAAGCTCCTTTCCCCATCTCGTTCCATGAAAAGACTTCT